AATGAAACCAAAATAGAGTTGGCTACCCCGAAAGCCAAAATCTAGAATAGCCATCCAAACCAAGACCATCATATAACATTCCACAGTGCTCTAAGGATTTTCCCATTTTTTCACTTTGAGAGTTTGAGGTTGACTACCTTTTTAATTTTTAGATAGGGAGTAGAGGAACTAAAAATAGTAAAACCAAATTTCATAGCATTTCTCCCCATCCAAATGTAATAAATTGAGCGGCAAATGGAACAACAACAACATCATCATCATCATCATCATCAAGCCTTTATCCCACTACGTGGGGTCAGCTACATGAATCCTTTTTCTCCATTGTGTCCTATTAAAAGTCAAATTCTCATTTAAATCTAATAAAGAAAGGTCATTCCTAATATTTTCTAACTAAGTCTTTTTAGGTCTGCCTCTACCTTTCTTAGCATAATTCAAATATAATACCTCTATTCTCCTAACCGGGTAATTGGAAGGCCACCGTTTTATGTGAACAAACCATCTAAGGCGACTCTCTCTAATCTTATCTTCTACTAGGGCTACTCCAACCTTTTCATGTATATGCTCATTCTGTATCCTATATTAAGGGTAAAGCCACTCATCCACCTGAGCATCCTCATCTCTGCCACACTTAACTTAGAATTATGCTTCTCTTTTAATGACCAACATTCAACACCATATAGCATTGTAGGCCTCACCACCATATTATAGAATTTTCCCTAAAGTTTAAGGGGTACTTTTCTATCACACAACAAGCCCGATGCATTCCTCCACTTCAACCATCAAACTTGAATTCTGCTGATAATATCCCCATCTATTTCACCATACTCTGAACAAATAGATCCAAGATATCTAAAACGTGTACTCTTATTAATGACTTGATCGCCCAAATTCACAATCCCCTCACTAGGTCTATTACTACTAAAATTATACTCTGTATATTCTGTTTTAGATCTACTTAAGTGAAAACCTTTAGACTCTAAGGTTGACCTCCATAATTTAATTTTACCTTCAACTCACTCTCTAGTCTTATAAACAAGAAGAATATCATTAGCAAAAGGCATACACCAAGGTACATCCTCTTGCAAATGTCTAGTGAGAACATCCATGACTAAAGCAAAAAGATATGGGCTTAAGACTGGTACCCAACTGAAATAGGGAAATACTTGGTCAAACCACCTTGTGTTTGAACACAAGTAATAGCTCCAAATGTTTAGAATCCACAATAGGGTTAACCAAGTCTCCATTTGAGCAGCAAATGGTAAGAGGTAAAAATGATTAGAATCCACAATAGGGTTAACCAAGTCTCCAATATAATTAAAAAATAGAAATATAGTATGCCTCATAAACAAAGTTTTTTAACACAAAAATAAGATCAGTAATCACAAAAAAAAATGAATAATCACTTTCAAAGAAAAGGTGGGAGGAGTTTTCTAGGTTTAAGAGGCAAAGAGAGATATATTATTCACCTGAACTTTCCTTTTGATGAGAACATCAGTAGTTTTCAATCCCACTCAAATAGCCATCCACGGAAATAAAGAGTATCTCAATGTATAATTTTATGTTTATTATAAATTGAATCTTCATTATAAAAGTCCCAAAGGTATGCTTTAAGAGGTTCATCTCCAAAATCATCTCATCTTAAATATTTGGAATGGAGCTCATGGATCATAATAGATGAAATCCCTTCACGAGCTTAACAGTGTAAAGTACTGATAGATTCTAGTAGTTATTAATAGTGAGAGATAAGAGAAGGGCATTGTTAGAAAATAAGGATGAGAGAATATGAGAGTTGGGTATATCCCTGATAATATCCCCCTTGCACTAATAATCTCAAAACATTGAAATTAGGCTATTTGGCGTAATAGTAAAGGAAAATATATTCTTAAATTTTCTAATTATAAGACAAATACTTTTAAAAAATAAAGAGGGCTTAGAGGGAAGGGGTTTCCAAAGGGAGCGGTATTTAGTCGTAAGGTAGTCGGAGAGCGAGGTGATGCTATTTTATATTCTACTTGTAATGGAGCACTTAAAGGTATGGTATAGAGCTTGGATAGCATGGAGTTCAAGACCTCCCATTTGTTTTTGTTTATAGGTGTAACACCTGTTAAGATAGTTATTATTTGCATGCTTTACATTTTTACAACTTGTATAGTTTTGATGATTCCAAACATTCTTGTTCAAATGTGTAGTTATCTCCTAACAATTTTAGAATATTTGTATTTGCTATTGTGTGTACTAACATTTCAGGAAAATCGAACTCCAGACTACGAAGACTTCAAATAAAATTCAGCATGAGATACTTTGTGAAATTTGAAGCTTGTACTTTTCTTTAAAATAAAATTGAAAGGGAGTGATTATAATTAAAAGGAGCGGTATTTAGTCATAAGCTAGTCGGAGAGCAAGGTGATGCTATTTTATATTATACTTGTAATGGAGCACTTAAAGGTATGGTATAGAGCTTGGATAGCATGGAGTTCACGACCTCCAAATTGTTTTTGTTTATAGGTATAACACCAAGAAATAACGTGCATCTTCCTGGCATTAAAATATCCATAATACAAAATTGGCACAAATTTTACCAATGTACTTGCACAAGACTTGGGTATGATAGAGCCATGAATCCAAAAAGCAATAGTATTTTGAATGCTGTATCTAATAAATAGTAACCTACCTGCAAAAGAGAGAAGTCTTGCTTTCAAGCCAACAAGGTGATTAGTAATAATTTGTGTTAAGTGGTGAAAATTAAAGATCTATTCTCTCTTAAGGGAAATAGGATGGCTAATGCAGGTAAGCTTGGCATAATTGGAATGAATGTTCAGGGCATCAAAGATGGCATTGGAGATCGAGGTATTGGGGGATAAGATTAATGAACTTTTTTCATGATTAATATGAAGCCCAGACATGTTTGCACATATGTTGAGAATCTAATTAAGGGTATTATAGTTATGAATAGCAGCTTTGCCAAACAGAAGATGATCACCAGCATAAAGGAGGTGTGTTAAGTAATGGCCTTCGATAAAAATACTTCTAAATCCAGACCGAGTTTCATACGAGTCCATGAGATAAGAGCATGCATCCATCACAATATAGAATAAATTAGGGTTAAATGAGCACCCCTGTTGTAAACCAAAGGATGAAGCAATAATAATTAATTATCTCAATTACACCAATAATAAACTACATGCTTAATATAAAATAATTTCTTCCACAATTATATTAAGTATATAAAAATGCTTTAATTTCTTACACTATTGGTTGGGTATCTCACCTCGCTCTGTAGGGTAGTCGAGTGAATTCATTTTC